GCGCGGACTCCGAGGGGGAAGGGGCACAGGTAAGGCGATGCCCTAACAGGCTGACACTCCCCCCCCCCCCCCCCCCCCCCCCCTCCCCTTTTTCGCTGTCTAGGAGGAATGAAGGCGGCGTAGCAGAGTAAAACTGCGTATTAGTAGAATAATCTGTACTCATTTTCACCTCAACAAAGAGGAAAGTTTTGCGCGCATTTCATGCTCCGCGCGAAATAGTTCTTACAAGATTTGCTGTCGAGGAAGAAGCGATGCTTTTGGCTATTTGAAATGTGTACGTAAGTCTTGATAAGATAACATATATTTATTCGAAAATGCATTTACATAGAGAATTATGAAATGCATGCATTTCATTATTCTCTACGTCAGCGGCGTAGACTTTCCATTTTCCCGGTGTGGGGGGGAGAGGGGGGGGGGGGGGTGCTTTTTCGCACAATTTTTTTTAACACCGGCAATTATCAGAAGTTTATTTTAGGGGGTACATTTTGCAGCGTATGTATATCGCCATGTGTTCGTCCCTGTGTGCGTTATTGTGTTTACATGCCACTACTAGAAGCTCGTTACATGGCACGTAAACAGCGTCTCTGTAAGGATCATAGCCCAGGGGGGGGGGGGGGGGGGGGGGGGGCCCTTTCGGATTTTACCAGGGAGGCGGGGGGGGGGGGGGGGTCCTGAAGTGAAAACGAGTATATAGTTTATAATCGCTTCATCGCATTTTGCGGAATGTCTAGGTCGGATGATTAAAAAAAGAAATGGTCGGCGCTTTATGGTTTTACAATTTTGTGTTGTGTGCAGCCGGACAGACAAAAAGCGAACGCGGGAGGCAGTGTTGTAATTTCAGAGTGATATCCGGGTTTCGCGAATGCAATCAATACCAGCACCTCAGTAAGCTGTCGGGGTGTGTCCTAAAGATCACAACCTTTCATTTTTTCCCGTCATGCTCAACAGTAAGCGGGAACTTTTTATTTAGTTGAATAAAATTCTTATCGAACAAAAATATTCTTAAAAAAAAGTAAACATTTACAAAAAAAAAGTCAAGGTCGACTTTCGAGGACAAACATACTGAAAATACTGACCCTTAACGTTTCTCCTCCAACTTCTTGTTTTTTTATAAATGCTACCAATGTTTCAGCAAAAATAAATGTATGCGCCCTCAATCGCGAAAACGCAGTGCTAACCGCCTGTGGGATTGTGTTGTCTTCCCCATAGCCTGTTTCTGGTTTGATGAACTAAGCGCCTCCTACAACTTGATCTCCTCACCACACTGCACTTAAACCCGAAGTAAAAAAAAAGAAAAAAAGAAAAGTCAAAGGAGAAACATGTTTGTTCAGTGTTTGCAGTATGTCTTCCTAACAAGTTAAAACGTGCTTCTAACATATTGATTGCTAATAAAACATTAACCGATTAATCTGAACGTGAGTCAATCAATTGCGCAGCCCTAGAAACTGGACACCTTGATACACCATCTATCCTATAGTATCATTATGCATATGGTGAAACATATTTTGGAAGCCAAAATGTATTCCTAATTCAATGTGAATGCATTTTGAAGACGATTCCCCTGTATTGTCCACCCTCGCACACATCTCTAGGTTATGCAGATAATTCAGATCTCTGCAAAAAGCACATTACCGCTCCTTTCGTGAAAGCTACCACAGTCGCTAACGTGATGAGAGCGGTAGAGAGGTCTTTTCATTCTTTTGCCTCCAGCACAAGCCTTCCGTTCGATAGCGACTAGGCGTCACGAGAGCCTCGAGCGTCCACACGCAGTTTAAGCACGGCGGAAGGCAACGAGCGCGTGCTGGATGCCATGCATCTAAAGGAGACGCCCTGCCGTTTTCGTCTTGTCCGTGCCCCAAAAGCACGGCGTGTTGTTAACCCTTCTGCGCACGCCACCTGGTGCAGGAACGACGCCAGCTTCTTCGCCGACAACAAGCGTACACAAGTGCTGCCCGCCAAGAAATGACGACTTCGTATTATTCCTTCTGGCACAGGGCACGTTCCTGATCACGCAGGCGGCTGCGAAGGGAATGGTGTCGGACGAAGGCAAACAGGACCGTTCCATCGTCAACATCTCGACCATCCTGGGTACCACGGGCTTCCCAAAGATGTCCTGCTACGTGGCCGCCAAGTCGGGTGTCATCGGCTTCACCAAGTCTGCCGCCCTGGAGCTTGCGCAGTACGGCATCCCGCTGCAACACCGTGCTGCCGGGCGTCACGGACACTCCCCTGCTGTCGCCCCTGGACGAAGAGACGGTGCAGACGCTCATCCGGAGGTCGGCCATGCGCAGAGAAGGAAAACCCGAAGACATCGCCAGCGTCTGCGTCTTCCTAGCTTCGCCAAAGAGCTCTTACGTCACGGGGGCTGCCATAGAGGTTACTGGAGGCGTCTCCGCGTGAAGGTTTACGGAGTTCAGGTTATAGCTATTCAGCCTCGTTTAGATGTATAAAGATGACCTAAAGGTTTGATCTCGATGTACCGTAAACTGGAACCACGATAGAAAAGTAGCGTAAATTGGGATACCTGTTCAGTTCTGATGACAAAACCTTCTTTGCCGTCAACTGTGAAAGAACAGAAACTGTAAGCGGTTGTATTACAAAGCATCGCTCCTTAGGATGTGTTTCCGTTCATGATGATCAGAATCTATCTTTTAATCCTGCCATCTGTAATTCCTTAAGTTTGAAGTTATAACTTTTCGCTCTTACGTGCCCATTATACAACATTGCTAAGAGCTCAATTGTGGAAATGGCGAAGTGATCAACTCCGAATACCCTAAAAAACAGAAGAAAACCTGCCCTGTCGAGAATTATGAGCAGCGTGAGGCCCAGTCTATGAGTGCACATAGGCAAAATAATGAAATCACTTATAGTTTTAAGCAACGGTTATATTTAACAAAATTTGTTTTAAGAAGTCAAGGTGAAGTTTAGACATGCCTGCAAATACCCGCAAACGCTATAGTTTTCTCGATTTTTATCTTGGAATTCCCCACTCCCAGCTATAATTTGCAGTCGCTATTGCCCTTCTTGCTTTTTCGTGTAATTCCTCGCTAGGTTTCTCTCCACCGATGCATCATCGCCACAGATTCTCAATTTTCTTCATTTCGGGGTGGCGCTTTCGGAACGGGTAAGTAAACGTATGCATAATGTCGGTATATTTAATATTCTTCTATTTACCTAATCGATAGAGGGGCATATTACCCACAGGTTCTTCCCGAGCGCTACTCGGTTTAAAAAAAAAGTCTGATATTAATAATAATGGTATATTTATTGTCAAACAATGTTTAATACAATACAAAAAAGGGGCCCGTCGAAGTTTGTAACAGACTTGTATGACCTGTATAGCTAGAGGACAATAATTACGTTCAAGAAAAGTACAATCTAGGGTGCCTTCATGTGCGCTTCGCATAGGGTGATGCCAGCTGCCTGTTTCCCTTTCCCACACCCTCGTACACCGCCATTTTGTTCCTCTCATTGTTTCCCCGTGCGCCGGAAAGTGGCCTTTGTGTCCATCGGTCCTCCCATCCGAGTGGGGAAATGCTAATCCTCCCTCCGTGGGTTCCACAACGCTGCTCCGAACTTGTGAGATAAGGTGCTTGTTTCCGGGAGGGTTATAAGCCCACGGATTATCGCCGAGGACCAAAATGGCTGCTGGTTTGTCGGCGAGTGGTATTACAAAGGGTGGCATCACCCTAACAAAGCGCACATGAAGGCTCCCTAGTACAATCATACCAACACCGAAAGGACCCTAGGTAGACAAGAACAAGGCATATTTCAGGTTAACTTTTGCACAGTATTAACACAAAGTTCCCACTAAAAAAAAGAAAAAAAAGGAATACGCATTTGGTACCTGAAAGACCACCACGAAAAGAGCACACATCAAGGCACTCCCCCCCCCCCCCAACCCCCCTCCCCCCCCCACCCCCCCCCCCCCCCAAAAAAAAAAAAAAAGAAATTAGGGACATAGGTCATAGCGGCCCTACCGCCTCTTTAATTTTCTTTTGGAAGTCACAGAAAGTATTTTTTCCGATAATTTGTAAAAAATGTTAGGAACATACACACAGCGTCTGGCCGCACCATATTGCGTTGAACACCAAGGCACTGGAAAGCGTAGGCCTTTTCTTTACAATCTTGGAGAAACATGTTCGATTTTAAATTCAGGATTCCAAAAATGCCGTGCCACCACCGTCTGCTTAAATAAAGAAGGGGAAGAAGGGAAGACTAACATTATGAAAAATACCTGATCCGCTCAAAAGGGGAGAATTGTACGCAATACTTTTTAACAGTGAGTTTTAGTATTGCGTATAGGAGCGAACGAAAACCCTGTAGGTTTGCGTTAGTGTTGCGTGTTCCACATTGCGGGTGTGCGCATGCGCATCGTGGAGAACGCAACGCTGACGGAAACGCACAGCGCTTGCGTTTGCTCGCATACACAGTACTCTTTAATGGTGAGTTTCAGTATTGGGTATACAGTTTAGGCTCTGCGCGCGCGCGGAGCCTAAACTGCGGCTTTGGATTGGCGCATGGCGACTTCGGGCATGCACATCATGGAGAACGAAACGCTAATGCAAACGCACAGCGCTTGCGTTTGCTCGTATACGCAGTAGTAAAACTCACTTTTCATGTTCTTCAGTAGACTGTTAACACGGCTCTGCCATCGCAGTGAAACGGAAGACAGTTATACCATATCTGAGTATGCTGTAAACGAGGGAGCCTGAGCAATCGTTTTCTTTGTCTCAACAGGAACAATACTTTTGAGATTAAAAAAGTAAGCAGGCTGCGCTCCGCAACTTACTGGAGACATAAGCGAAGTGACTTTGCCATAACAAGTCACTGTAATATATATATATATATTGTTACGACGAATATAGATATATACAATGATTTAATTTACATTAGGTGAAGATTGAAAATGGCGGTTACAATCATCCAAAGCTCGTTTCCTCTCCTCTTCTTCTTCTCTTGTCTCCTCACGAAAACGTCCCTTCTTTTTCTTCTTAACATCACTCCCCCTCGGGTGGAAACGGCGTCCCGCCGTTTGAATAGGTGATGTATGGTTTGAGCCGGAGGACGTGAACTGTTTGTACTTGACGATGGCGGTTATTTTGGGGAGGTTCGACGGGTTCTACTGTATAATTGACGTCACTTGTTCGGTTGAGGATCCTAAAAGGACCGCGATATCGAGGTAGTAGCTTCTGAGCAAGGCCGACTTGTCGCTGTGGGGTCCAGATCAGAACCAGGTCACCTGGTGAATAGGCGACGAAAGAGTGGGTGCTGTCATAACGGGCGCATTGCCGTTCCTGAGAATCAAGAGTTCGCAGGCGCGCAAGTTGTCGTGCCTCTTCAGCATGGCCTATGGCGTCCGATGTATAGTCGGAAAGTGAGGCTTCGGGGTGTAGCGGAAGCAGTGAGTCCAACATGAGGAGGGGTTCATGACCGAAAAGAAGATAGAAGGGAGAGTAGACGGTTGTGTTATGAGGGGAGGAATTATATGCGAAAGTTACGTAAGGGAGTGCAACGTCCCAATTTTTGTGCTCGTGGGTAACGTACATTGCGAGCATGTCGGCAAGGGTCCGATTAAGGCGTTCTACGAGGCCGTTCGTCTGTGGATGGTAGGCTGTCGTTTTTTTGTGAAGAATGGAGCAGAGGTTCAAGATTTCACTTACGACGATATTTCATAGAATTTACACTGTCAACCATACGGACAACAATCTTGACCATGTCAGAGGGATGTCAATCACCGGTTTTTAAATGATTTCTGGAAGAAATCAGCTTTGTGTTTTGCACATTTACGAAAATACGTAATCGAAGCAATGTCATTGCTTCGATTATGTTGCGTTGCAGGTTGTTCATTGCTTCTTCGTAGCACAGGTTTTTTGAAAGCGTGTATCTGCGCATTAAACACAGTACAGTTGTTAACTGTTGAAGCGAGCTCACTAATAAAAATGTAAAATAAAACAAAGGGATAAAATTGAGGCTTGGGCGACACCAGCCTTCGTTTGTAATTTACTGCTATAGTTAACTGCTAATTTACTGCTATAGTTTATACTGCTATACTTGGGATCGATCGGAGAGGAAATTTTTCAGAATCTCGTAAAAAGGTCCACGAAAACCCGCCACATACAAATTTTGTAATAAAATCTGGTGGTTAACAGTGTCGAAAGCTTTTGCTATCATCTAGGAAAATAGCACAGGTACAGGTTATTGTTCGAACGCGTCATGGAGCGTATCTGAAAATTATTCTAAAAGTGGTAGGGTATTGAATAACAGGCTGAAGTTGAGCTAGTTGGTACATAATTCAAAAATAAACGGTCAGCTAGACGATAGGGACGATAGGGAGGTATGGTACCTCGTCCTGTAATGAAACCGAACTGTCGGCTGGACAAAATATTAAATTTTTTTTCTAGAAATGACCTCATCCCTTCGAGAAGAAATGTTTCTAATATCTGCGACAATATTGGCAATATTGATATTGCTCTGTAATTTTCCATCTTGTCCTTTTGTCCTCACTTGAAAAGTGGCTTGATTATGGCGGGCTTCAAATTTTCTGGAACAGCCGATTTATTCAAGAAGCCGTTTAACATAAACAATAATATATCAGCAAGAGCATTAGAGTTCCTTCGGGGCGTAAACTCCAACACTCCATCAATGCCGGGTGACTTATTTTGTCGAAAACTAAATATTAGCCTTGCAAGTTCAGATTCTGTTAGAGTAGGCAAAAACGCTGAGGCTGCTAATATTTCCTTAACACCCGCCATATTGCATCGAACGTGAGCTTTCCGAAACCCGTGTCAAGTAAGGATTAAACTTATTGGCCACTGCAGTGGAATTCCCAGCAAAATGATCCATGGCAGCGAAACAGTTATTGCCTCGTCCTCAAAGAGGATTTATCACACTCACAGACTATGTTTTTGCCGGGTTTCTCACCGATTGATTGACTGTCGTAAAAAGTACCGTCGCTTCGTGACAGGGATAAGCGCGGCCACTCCATTTCTTTCAACTCTGTAATCTAAATTGCTAAGGCCTGGTTTTTTGGAGCACGTTTCTGGCGCGTCCATGCACAGCCAGTCTCGATATGCCATGGCCCGAATAACGTCCGAATTTAACCAGTTGTAATTTCTTCTACGTTTCTTTACAAGAACTCGTTGGCTGAGATTTTCAAATATTTTTATCTGTTCACAAAACTTTTCATACATTTTATCAGGAGGATTACACTGAACACTGAACAAGTGTTAACCGACCAAAACCAGTGACTATAGATCATCGCACTTGCAATGATTGAGTTTCAAAGCCTGTATTTTATTGCTTTCACTGTTCTTAATAATAATAATAATAATAATATTAATAATAATAATAATAATAATAATCTTTATTTGCACGAGTACGAGCTATCTTCTGGAAGCCGTGCAAGGCGAAGCAGAAAGGCGAAAGCCTGTACACATGTGCGTCTTCCGGCCCGCCTCCCAGGAGACAAAACAAACAGGTTACAAACATTAATAAACCGATGAATGGTGTGCAGCGAAACTTTTCACATAGGCGCGTCTTTAAGTGGTGCATTTAGTACGCTCACATTTAGTGAGTGTATAGGTTTGTGGGGAGAAATACAAGAAAGGAAAAACTTCTTTCCTCTGCGCGGGAGGAAAACAAGCACACCGCCTGGTTGACGCTGCTACTTACCGTATTTTCCGGGCTATAGTCCGCGGACTATACATGTTTAAAAGTTGGAATTTCTGGCTGTGCTGACTATCTACGCGTACGGACTACACAGGAATTATGTTTTTCAATATCGTTGATTATGACGAGACGGGACGGATTTTGTGAATAAAAGAGTATGTTATTGATAATTTATGTATATTATAGGCCTTTTTTGTGAGCTCAGAAAACATACATATGTCAAGGTGTGCCGCGTATGAGAAGAATTTCGTGTCGACTAAGCACCAGGTGCGGACTATGCACTGGGTGCGGACCGGAAAATACGGTATATATGGCACCACACTCTCCGATTTGCTGAGTATGCTACAGAATTTTCCCCTCTAAGAAACTTTTAGATTTTTTTTGTGTGTTAAGCGTTTTTAACTTGACGGCTTTCTTCTGATTTCCTCTTCTCAGAAACCTACCCTCACGAAACGTTGAGTACGATAAATGCGCCACAAAAATACACTTTTTTTTTTTGCAAAGTTTCATTGCACTGCGTCTTTTAACAAAATTGTACGGCTTCTTTTACAACCGGATAGCGCTTTGAACCCGGTGACATTTTGATATGAAGGCAAGTCTATACACCGACGCACAACGCGTTCGTCCGAATACCGTGTGTGTGGTAGAAACTAGAACCGTGTTCTTCGAACCGTAAAAATAGAGGGTTTTAGCGAACCGTCTTTGCACATCCGATATGGTACGATGGGCCCTCCGAATACAAACTGCGCATGCGCTATTCCAGAAGTCTCGCACATGCGCAGTTCATACCGGAGGGCCCATCGTACCGCATCGGATGTGCGAAAACGCTTCCCTAAAACCCTCTAGTGAACAGCACCGCCCAACGCTCGGTTTACCAGGTGCCAAAGCTTCAAGACTATACCGTAATGTGATTATAGCGCCTGGAGCGCGTCTCCGACCCCTGCGTTCAGCGTCCTATCCCGCTTGTACATCAAAAGTGGTCCTTAACGGTCAATCAATGAGCTCACAGAAGCCGGAGTGTCATGCTAGAGCTATGCTGTTGGATGGCGCGATCCTGGCGGTTGGTCGTAGAAATGCTGGCGAAGAGCACGAGCAAACGCGAGTGTCGCTGTCATCGCAGCGTCCTAAAGTCTGGCTGCCGGAGCTTCCGTGAACTGATGAGCTGGAGAGCGACATGCAGCGGAGCAGGCGTCTGCCACATTTTCTACGGGGGAAATCGAGGGACCACATCTTTGGACGCGGTAAACACATTAGTCGGGGACGTGTTCCAGGCACCATAATGCGATTAAGAAGTTATACGGGATTTTTAGAAATTTTTTATGCGAAAATGTAAACCGTTCTCTGTATATACTCCGTTCACACATAAGACTCACACGCCAAAGCTACAAGTGCGAGCTAGGCCGCGCTCCTGGCTTTGACACATGCATTTCTAGCGTGAGCTTTCGTTCTGCGGAAAAACTCTTCAAAGGAGCAACCTCAAGCTCTCGTGCTAGTGGTATATTGGCTGCAGTCTCAGCTTAAAGGGACTATCGCTATGTTTCCGTGAACGCGATCGTAGCGCATCGAATCCAGCAGGGACCGTAGGGCAACGAAACAACTCAATACTTGCGAAAATGTCTGTTGTCGAGTGCCTCTTTCATGTAATAGCAGAAAGTCACAATTCAAGGTCGCGTTCAATACTGTCTCTCACAAAACGCAAATTTTAGCAAAAAAAAAAAAAAAAACACGTGTGTGTGTGTGTGTGTGCGGGGGGGGAGGGGGGGGGTTAGTTTTGTGCGACCGGCAGTTCGTAGCAGATCAGTAGCAGACGATTCCCCGTCGTCTGCTCTCTCACCTCGCCTGCCTCGCCTGAGCGACGCATGGCGAGAATCACATGATTGCATTCCGGCGCACTCTCGTTTTTCTCGGTACAGCGGTGAAGCAAGTGCACGCACGCGTGGAGTGCCGTCGCTGAAACGAACTCGGAAAGTGCAGCCACTCGTGGAGTGCCGGCCGGAACGAACACGCTCCATTCTCCGGGTGGCCACGCGTCGGCACGAGTGCAGTAAAACTCACTATTCGACACACACGCCAAATATAATCAAAGTGTTGAGTCATCGAAAGCACACACTCAACTTTAAAATAAAAAAAAAATGATACCCATATATTTTTTTTTTGTAATTTCTAAAAAGCGGCACGTACGTTGACTAAACAGAAAGAAAAAAAAAAAACATTTAAGTTTGCTGACATGTAGGAATACGAAAATTCCTACAAGCTGCTACCCGCACTGAGCCCTACATGAGCGACTACTGCTGAGGCTGGACGGGCGGGTTCCTTGCGGGTTCTGCGGCCGACCTCTCTGCAGAGCCCGACCAAATATTTGGAGAGGGCTTTTCTGTGGGGTGGCGTTCGTTGAACTACGCCGCGCCCCAGCCAATGGGAGTTTATCCATCAATTCGCTGCTACTCACTACAGGCTTCGCTCCGAGCCAGTGACCAAGCTCCCGGTGCGCAACCACTATTGGCCCTCTCCTCCCCCCCACCATCTTTCACAACGCTTAGAAGAAGAAGAAGGCTTCGCTCCGTAGGAGAATTTAGGTGCCGTTTGGCGCGGCTTCAAAAGCTGATAACGCCGGTTCGCTTCCTAAAACAGTTAATTCTTTCGCATAAAAAAAAAAAAAAAAAAGTTGCACAGGGAACCGGCAGTACTTCGCGCGTTCTCTGCGAAATTCTCAACATGGCATCATATTGCGGAAATCGCGGCCTGGAACGAAGCGGACTCATAGAGTAATACAGTAAACGTAAAGAGAGGACGCAGAAGCCCAGATAGTGCGTCGAATGCCCTCCGCTACGGGGCGCTTTACTGTGATTTGGTGAAAATTAGTTAGAACTCCTCCTATGAGAACTATATATTCTTTTTTAAATTGTGATGCTTTAGCATTATGTAAAGTACTTAAAATGACTAAATAGTTTTGACCTAACA